CTCAGCCTTCACACTGAATTATAATCTAAATGGTAGCTTCCTAATGTTTCTTCACTTCTTTGTATCTGTGTTAAATTCTTACTGAATGTTTGAAAGTATATAAGATAATAAAGTCAGGCCTGGTCGCTGACCTGAGTGAGTCTCGAGCTCCCTTCAAATCAATCATCCCGTCTGCAGTTCCTTTTCTCTGCGTCTCCGATCAGAAGCTCCAATAACACTGTCATTCAGGTTATATTTCAAGTCTGGTGATCAAAACAGTATGGTACTGCCACAGAAATAGAGATATGGATATATAGAATAAAATAGAGAACCCAGAGATGAACCTAGCCAAATTTTTCCATTTTACCTCTGATAAACCAATAAATGCATGAACTGGGAAAAAGAATTCCTATTTAATAAAAGGTTCTGGGAGAAGTGGTTAGCCACATATTAAAGACTGAAAATGGACCCACATCTGTTACCACTGACAAAATAATGACTCTCACTGAATAAAAGATTTAAATTTAACACACAAAACAATAAAAATTATAGAAGGCTGGGCACTATGGCTTATGCCTGTAATCCCAGTGCTTGGGAGGCCAAGGTGGTTGTATTGCCTGAGTTTATGAGTTTGAGATCAGCCTGACACCCCATCTCTAACAAATAGCGTGGGTCTCTAAAAATAGGCTGTTGTGGTGGGCACCTGTAGTCTCAGTTACTTGGAAGGCTGAGGCAAGAGGATCACTTGAACCCAAGAATTTGAGGTTGCTATGAGCTATGACACCATGACACTCTATCAAGAGTGACCAAATGAGACTCTGTCCAAAAAAAAAAAAAAAAAAACTAGAACAGTCCTGTGCTTGACACAATGGTCAGTCAAAAAGATTTTATGAAGAAGACCCCCTTGGCAATTGCAGAAACACCAAAAATAAATGGGACATGATCAATTATAAACCTTCTACACAGCTATGGGTACCACAGCTAAAACAGATCACCTACAAAATGGGAGAAGATTATTGCATGCTATGAATCTGAAAAAGATCTGATAACTAGAATCTGCAGAGAACTGAAATTAATAAACAAGAAAGGAGCAAACAACCCCATTTATAAGTAGGCAAGAGGCTTGAACAGAAACTTCTCTGAAGATGCCAGGTGAATAGGCAACAAACACATGAAAAAATGCTCATGTTCACTAATCATCAGAGAATTGAAGATCAAAACTATTATGAAACGTCACCTAACTCTAGTGAGATTAGTTCACATCACAGAATCCCAAATTTGCAAATGCTGGTATGGATGTGGAGAGAAGGGAACACTTTTAAACTGTTGGTGTGATTACAAACTAATACAACCTCTATGGAAAGAAGTATGGAGAATTCTCAAAAAGTTCAAAGTGGACCTTCCATTTGATGCCATTAATCCCATTACTAGTTATTTACACAGAAGAAAAAAGAAATTTACCACAAGGACATTTGCACTAGAATTTTTATTGTGGCTCAACTGACAATTGTCAAGATGTGGAAAGAACCCAAGTGCCCAAGAATGCATTAATAAACTGTGGTATATGTATACTTTAGAGTACTGTTCAGCCATTAGAAAAGATTGAGACTTACATTTTTGTGTTACATGAATGGAATTGAAACATACTCTTCTTAGTAAAGTATCACAAAAATGGGGAAAAAATTATCCAATGAACTAAGTAGTAATATGAAACTAATAGAAAAACAATTACAGGCCCATACTAAATAAAAACTCAAGTATTATTTCTCAAGGAGGAGGGGAGAGAAGAAAGAAGGTGGGAGAATGGAGGGTTATTGGACAGATCTTACTTAATGTGCACAATTTAAGGGTTTTCATCCCCTGGGTGAAGGACGTAACTACAACTTGAAATTTACCTTTGAAATGAAGACAATGCAACCTAAACATTTGTACCCTAATATCAATTTGAAATTAAAAATGTATAAATAATGCCGGAGGTGGTGGGTTCAAACTCAGCCCTGGCCAAAAACTGCAAAAAAAAAATGCATAAATAAATAAAAATAAAAATATTTTATATGAAAACACTACACTGTACCCCATGTTTGCATTAATGTATACAGCTTTCATTTAATAAAAAAAAAAAAGATTTTAAAAAACAATAAATAAACATTTTTTCTATAAAAAAGGAACACATGTGCTCACTTTGGCAGGACATATAATAAAATTGGAATGATACAGAGAAGATTAGCATGGCCCCTGCACAAAAATGACATGCAAATTCGTGAAGTGTTCCATTTTTGAAAAAAAAAAAGGAACACATGCATTATTTTAACAGCAATTTTAAAATACCACCTTGTTGTAGCATGAATGATTGGATGGTAAACCTAATAATAAAGTTCCTTTTTGCTGGGGAGAGAGAGAGAAGGAGAGGGAGAAGGAGGAGAGAAAGAGAGAAGAGAAATCAGAGTGCTAGGAAGATATTAGTGGCTAGTGAGAACCAACAAACTACTTCTTTGTTAATTTATGTTTCTAAACCTTTACACTAGCTGCTCAACCCACCTAGAATACATGACTACCTTTGTCACTTTATTCAGGTCTTATGAAATGCCATCTCCTCAGAGAGGCCTTCCCCTGTTGTAATATTATAATGGAAATATCAAATACCTCTTGTCACCCTTTTCTGCTTTACTCTGCTGTAATTTTATGGACTTAAATGCCACCAGAAATGTTGTATTTTTATTTATCTACATGTTCACAGTGTTTCCATGAATAACTTATAAGATCCTTGAGGACAGGATGGCACAGTAGCTAAAAAATTAGCTTCTGATACCAAACTCTGGATTTGAATCTTGACTCCATCACTTGCAAACTTATAAGCTTAAGAACATTACTTCATTAGGAACAATCTCAGATATTTTGTTTTCTTTGGCACTACTGTAAAGGATGAGAAAGATCTCTATAAATAGAACTACGAAACCCTGAGAAAAGAAATAGCCAAAGATATCAACAAATGGAAAAACATACCATGCTCATGGATGGGAAGAATCAACATTGTTAAAATGTTCATACTACCCAAAGCAATCTACAGATTTAATGAAACCCCCATTAAAGCACCTCTGTCATACTTTAAAGATCTGGAAAAACGAGTCTTCATTTTATATGGAAACAGAAATAACCTTTAATAGCCAAGACACTTCTCAGAAATAAAAACAAATCAGGTGGAATCATGCAACCAGACTTCACACTATACTATAAATCTGTAGTGATCAAAACAGCATGATATTGGCACAAAAATAGAGAGGTAGATGTATGGAACACAATTGAGAACCAAGAGATGAATCCAGACACTTATTGTCATTTGATCTTTGATAAGCCCATCAAAAACTGGGGGAAAGACTCTCTATTTAACAAATGGTGCTGGGTGAACTGGTTGGTGACTTGTAGAAGACTGAAACTGGACCCATACCTTTCATCTCTAACAAAAATTGACTCTCACTGGATAAAAGACTTAAATCTAAGACATGAAACCATAAAGACTTTTGGGAAAAGTGCAGTGGAACCACATGAAGAAATTGGCCTGGGAAAAAACTATTATTAGGATGGCCCCCAGAGCAATTGAAGAAATACCAAAAATACGTTACTGGAAACTGATCAAACTAAAAAGTTTTTGCACTTCCCAGGGCACAGGAAGTAAAGCAAGTAGACTGCCCTCAGAATGGGAAAGGATATTTGCAGGTTATGTTTCTGACAAAGGTCTGATAACCAGAATCCACAGAGAACTCAAACTTATCAATAAGAAAAGGACAAGTGATCCCATTTCACTATGGGCAAGAGACCTGAACAGAAGCTTCTCTGAAGAAGACAGGTGCATTGTATACCAACACATGAAAAAATGCTCATCATCTTTAATCATCAGAGAAATGCAAATCAAAACCACCTTCAGATATCATCTAACTCCAGTAACATAACAAAACCCCAAAACTACAGATGTTGGCATGGATGTGGGGGAAAGGGTACACTTCTGCACTGCTGGTAGGAATGCAAACTAATACATTCCTTTGGAAAGAAGTTTGGAGAACACTCAGGGATCTAAAAATTGAACTGCCATTGAATCCTGCAATTCCTCTACTAAGAGTATATACAAAAGACCAAAAATCACTTTGCAAAAAAGATATTTGCACAAGATTATTAATTGCACCTCAATTCATAATAGCCAAATCATGGAAGAAGCCGAAGTGCCCATCAACTCCTGAATGGATTAATAAACAGTGGTATATGTATACCATGGAATACTATGCAGCCTTTAAAAAGATGAAGATTTTACCTCTTTTATGTTTACATGGAGGGACCTAGAACATATTCTCCTGAGTAAAGCATCTCAAGGATGGAAAAAAAAACTATCCAATATACTCAGTACTTCTATGAAACCAAATTATATTTACTCACACTTTCTTATGAAAGATAAAACACAACTATAGCCCAGGATGAAGGAGATAAATGGAGGGGGAAGGGAGGAAGGAGGAGAGATTTGATAGAGGGAGGGTAAATGATGGAACCACAACTATGGAGCATATTACAAGGGTACAAGTCAAATTTGTCAAGTGTAGAACATAAGTGTATTAACACAATAATCAAGTAAATGAGGCAAAAGCTATGCTTTTTTATGTAAGCACATCAGTTTGTATTAAAATGTCAACACATTTTACCCCATATATCCATAAATGTATTCATGATCTATATGTATATGACTTAATAAAAAAAAGGAAGTTACTTCACCTCTCTGTTTCTCAGTTTTATTAGCTGTGAAATGGGGATATGGATGGTAACTATCTCATAAATTTCTGAAAACAAAAGGAAATAAGATAATTCTATGCAAAGAAGCCAAAATAATGTTTGCATATATGTATAGTAAGTGCTATATAAGTGCCACCTATGGTTATTATTCTATTCTTTATTTCAGCACTTGAATATCACCCAGACAAGCAGGTATTTAATAAATGTTTGTACAATGATAATGTATCTTAATTGCAGAACTGATTTCAGAGCAACTGAGGGAAAAATTACATGGCATGTGTTTGAAATGGACGGAGGGATTGGTAATGTTGAGTGGTATTTCCCAGCATGCCAAAGCAGCGCGATTGACAGGGACGATGAGAAAGTCATTTAAATGGGGAGGCAAGAGGCATCATACATCCTCTAATTTGTGGATGCTGCTCAGATGGGGCATATGAATAGTCAATGGAGAGAGGCAAATATGCATGTGTGTGTGTGTGTGTGTGTGTGTGCGCGCACGTATGACAGAGAAGAGAGAGAGAGAGATGCTAGGAAAAGGTGATATACACAGTGCTGAAATACTTTTCTGTTGAGCCCATTCACCTGCTAAATACGCAGCCCTCCCCCTAGTCTCAGTAGACAGAATGCCAAGGAAAATAAACATCCAGAGAATTTGGCGATGGGGCTAAGTGAACCCTAACCCCTTTCTATCCCTGGGAGTTTGGGATTCACTGAATACCCACCAATGAACCACTTCTCCTGGACTTCCAAGTGAAATCCAAGCCACTCACTTGAATATCCGGTCAATGACAAGTGTGTATACAGAATTCTTGTATAAATAATGAGATGGGTGGGGTAACAAACTTTTAAATCATGACTGAAGAAAATCCGGGATTATCTCCTTCAGCTACAGAAGGATTCCATCAATTCTCATTCCTCACTCTAGAATCTCCTATCAGAAACTGGGTAGGGGAAGTGCTAATGGGGAGGGGCTTAACCACTTAGTGAGGAAATGAAGAATAAGACATGACCTAGGTATACACCCTCTTCTCTTTGTCCCTAAAGGAAGCAAGCCAGACAAGGCTGTATTTCTTATTTCTATACCACATCCTCTTTTTCCCACAGTCTGGAGCAATAAGAAGTAGATTGAAAATGAAGTTACTTCCATTTTCTCTGCTCCCCTTCATACCATTCTTAGGCCTGCAAGGTCTTCTCAACTAATTATCTAGACCCTAATGTAATCTTACAATGGCTCTGTCACTCATCTCCAAAAACTCAAGAGATCTAAGAAAATCTTCCAGAAGAGAAATAACAAACTCATTGAAGTCCCACTGTCTGTCTATTTCACAAATGTTATAACCATTCAGTTTGAGGAAAAGAAAATATAAAACTTACTAGCCGATTTGATGTAAAACCCATCAAATTATCCATGTAGACTCAGGCAGAGTTGAAAAAGTGAATTCTACCATTTCCTTTTTTTATTTCATGAGGCTTTAGTGGATGAAGGGGTATAACAGCAAAGCTGTAAATTCAGCTACTGAGAAAACTTAGCAATGTCTTACCAGATCTAATTTATATAAATTGCACTGAGAGATTCATCCCAAGGGTATGGTTAATCATGGCAATTCATTCTTACAAAGTCAGATATTTGTAGTTCTAAAGTCCGTTGGACACCATGTAATACAACTTCTTTGTTTTACAAATATGTTAACGGAGGCCCAGAGGGCCAGAGCTCTGTCAGTGGCAGAGCTCAGTCTAAAATCCAAACTTCTAAAAAGATCATCCAGTCTTTTATCCAGTGTACCTAGGTCTGTGGATTTTTAGGAAGGGATCTTTTCTACTATTCTAGGGAAGGTTTGTGCTTTGTGCTTCAAATCCTAGAGTAGCTATGGATTTTGTTCTTACCCTCAACTCCAAAATGCACATATGAAATATAATGGCAATTTTGTATACATTGTGAGAGCTTAAGGGACCTCAGGTTAAGAACCCCTTGCTTTGGCACATGTCTGTAAGTTCTTCAACATCCTGCATCTTACCCTGTTTTCCAGTTAATACAATCACTATATCTTTGAGATACCATACCCACTACACCTCTGCCATTCAATCCACCCTTAGACCAACTAATTTAGTCCATATGTGTCCATGTCTGCTTTTTACAGAGCTTTTTGCTGAGTAAGGAAGTAGAAAAAGGAAAAACAGGAAACACAAATAATTGGAATCATTATTATATATATTTCTGAACCCAAATGTCTACATCTAGATGACTTGCTTGATAAAATTTTCTAAACACAATAGACCATATTCTGTCTCATCTTGGAGAAATTTCAAACTACAGAAGTTGTCACTAGCAAATTTGTCATAATAAGTTATAATAAATTCACCATTCTCCTTTCCCAGAGTAAGTATTTATCTTCTAGTTTAGTGCTGGCCTCTACACCTAAAATCATGTTTAGACTGGACCTAGAGTCCTGAATGAGATAGGTCACTTTCTAGGTAAGTTCCAGGAGCCATCATGCCCATCAATCATA